TGCCTTAGAAACAGGTTCTTTAAAAAAAAAAAAACACTCAGCCGCACCCGCGGGGCCGGCCCCCCCCCCCCGGGAACCCATCAGCCTCAGGCCGAGGCAGGTGTCCGGTCACTGGGTCCCGTTAGATTTTTTTTTTTTAAAGAACCTGTTTCTAAGGCAGCTCGGGGAAATAAATCCCCTTTTAAAAGTCTATGTCTTCATTCAAGAGCCTTCGCCAGCCCCACCTGGAGATGCTGCCGTCGGACACAGGATCTGGATTTGGAGTTCCTTTGGATATCGTGAAAAGGCGTCTGCTGTCCGTTAGGGACTCTTGTTTTCTGTCCTAAAGGTGCGAAGTGAGGAACGATACGGAATTGCTGTTGCTCCCGTTGCCTGAGAAGTAACAGCCTTCGGTTCTCGGGCAGTCTAACCGCTTGGCGCCTCTTCCGACCCGGGTCTCCCGGCTCCTTTGTGGCTTTGGCCATAAATCCCCCCTTGCCGTTCACCTTGCCGGTTCACCCTTGAGTAGGCAGCAAACGTCATTCTCTTAATGGGACTAATTGCCAGGCATCCATACGATGGATTGGATTCCGGCTCCTAAAAAATGGTTTTTTCACAACAAAGAGAGGATTTATAGCACATGTTTCATCAGAGTTAATCCAGTGACTGAATTAGCTTGCTCATTAACTGCTGGACAGCTCATTAATTTCTCTTTGAACATTTCCTTCCTTCCTTTCTTCCTTTCTTTCTTTCAAGGTTTATGATGAATGTGACCTGGAAAGGCAGAGACTTATCCTTCACTGCAGATGGCTACCAAGCACAGCCGCGGCTGGTGGTCATCGTCCTAAATCAGACCCGGGCCTGGGAGAAGGTAACAGCCGCCGCCGGGGGCTCAGTCAGCAAAGAGAGGCGGAAACTGTGTTAGAAAGCCTGCATTTGCATTCAGGGCAGTGAGGGTGTGTGCAGTCGGCTTCTGCGTTCGGTTTCCTTTGTTCTGGTCCACCTTTCCCCTCTCCTGAACCGTTGGCATGCCAGCTGGTTTGATTAAAGGATGGGAGATGCACATGCAGCGGTTCACGTCTTTCTTTTGCGAGGCAAAGGCTCCCTTTTGACAGCCAAAGAGCCCAACTCATTTTTAGAATCACGAGGATCTCAGATACAGGAAAGGCCCCGCAATCTAGGATCCCGCAGAGCTGCTGTGAGTCAGAGGATGCGTGGAGAGCCGGGCCGGATCTCCAGCAGAACAGCTTTGCTGATGCCCTTCGGAAACCACCGTGGTGCAGTGGTGGAAGGTGGGCTTGGCCTGGGCGTTGAGTCCTGACACCCTTGCTTCAAAAGAGCTCAGAGGGTGAAGAGCTTTCACAGTCTCCAACCAAGGAAAAATCTGGCTAATCAGAGCAGAGGGTGCTGGATGGGTTTAGGGAGCAACCTGAGTAGAAATACACCCCCAAAAGAGTTAAAAAAGAGGTGCTGATGGGCCCCAGACTGGTGCATGCTAATTTCCATGCCTCGAGGCAGCTGGAGAATTAGTTTAAATAGAAATACATCTCGTGCTAGAGGGGAAAAGGTTTCTCTTTTTAGGGTTCTTCATCTTTAAACTTGCTTTGGACTGGCAAGCTCTTCCGATAGAAGATGTCTTGAAATTGGGGACCCTCCTGTGTGGGTTAGGAACACCTGGTCTGGCATAAGGTCATGTCAGCCCTACAGGATAGACCAGACTAAGAAACCAATGCCATGTGGGTCAGTACTACTCTTATTGTAAAGCTATAGTAACAGAATCTTGCAAGTCTGAATGCACTTCCCCCCTCCCTCCTTTCATCTTTGTGTGAACAAAGGAGGGGCTTGTCTGAGATGTTCACTCATGTTGCTTTGTTGGCCTGGGCTCACACCCCTCTTATCTGGTGGTTGCCTCGGTAGTGGCTCTTCCTCCTGCCCTTCCAGGCCGTTCCCTCTGCCCTACACAGGTAGCCGCCTTGTTATCTTCTGATTTCATCTGATTTTCTTCGGCTGCAGCAGAACAGGGGTGTGCAGTCAAGACACCTACATATAGGTAAAATATGCCACAAAGATCATTTTTTAAAGGCCCCAAAGAAATGGCCTTTTTGCAGCTGGAAGCAGTCGTTTGTAGCTTTCGTGTGCACTCGCCTAAAAAATAATTGAAATAAATTCTGCTTGTGGTTTAATAGGAACATGTTTTCTACCTTTTTTTTTTGCCCATTAAACAATGCATTGACTAAACGTTACAATTTAATTATGATTAATAATTATTTCAATGCTGGGGCTGGTAGAAATGTTACCTGGTTATTTGAAGTGTGTCTTTATGTGTGTTTGTGTTATTCTGAAGCTCCGTAGCAGGGAAGGCTGGGGGTGTTACCCCTTGCCTCCCACCGTGGCCCCAATCCAGTTCAGGCTTCCCGTTCCTGTACACATGGCATTGTCAAATGTGTGTGTGTGTGTGTGTCTACGTGAACAATGCAGACTGGAGACGTGAAGGGCTCCATCTGGGTAAGAATTTCTGGCTGGGAGTCAAGCAAAAAGACCAAACTGGAGTCTGAACTTACTGGATTTGAAGCTGTGGCCATTTTGTACTGGGGAAGTACTTTGGCGTCCTGATGCTCCCCATGACTCTGGCAAGAGTTCCCGGTTGATATGCGAGTGGTTCTGTGTCTCAGAGGATTCATCCTTGCAGCCTGGCTGTGCCCCGATCTGTAAAAAGCGATACTGTTTTTAGCAGCATTTGTCGTTCTAAATGGGAGCGAAGGAAGAGAAGGTGGGGAAGCCGGTCCCTTCCATTCCTTTGCTCCCGGTTTCCTCCAGTGGCTCTTTCCCCAACTTTTGCCATGTCTTCCTGCTGTGCTCAAGGGCCATTTTGACTTGGAGAGAATGGCAAGATTTTCCATCAGGGCAGGACAAAGTCAGAGGGCGTTAATTCAGAGTAATCACAATTCTTGGTGCTATTAAGTTTAAGCTTGGTGGGTGGAAGTGGGAGGAAAGGTTGTCAAGGGTGCAACTTGGTTGAATAGACCCAACTGACATGAAAGGGATGTGTCCTGAGTTAATTGGGGATTACCCCAGCATAACAACTTAGGAAATGGGTCTGGATGGATCGTTGGAGTTGTTGACAGGCATCAGTAGATGGAGCGTCACCTCCTAGAAGGCTGCCTGGCAACCCTGAAAGGCAGGACAAAATATCAGGGCTCTTCCCTGGCAAAGAAAAAAAAACATGAACAAGTCTGTGGTCCTTTCTTTGATGCTTCCTTTTTGTGCAAACGCACACCAACACACCATCGCCAATGTACCAGGAGGAGGGGACCAGCTTCATAGAACAGTCTGGAGACTTTTTTTCAGAGCCAGAGCAATGTCTTTGCTGCAGGAACACCGGTCGGTCATTTAGCAACTGACTGAAGTAATAATGAAGCTTTCAAAGGTTACTGTTTTTAGCAGATTATCATATAAAAGGAATTAGGACAGGAATAGGCGGAGGTGCGGCCTGTTTTGCATTATTCAGCCAGGTCAGTTTTCGGTCAGTGTCTGCATCTGGGCCTCTCTTGATGCGCCAGCCTTCAACGTCAGGTGCCCCCTGGTCATTCCTGGTTGGGGATTATGGGGATTTAAGCCAAGCTCATCGGGATGGTCCCCAGCTGGGAGGAAAATTGTCTTGCCTTTCTCCTTGATGGGCTAGGTCTCTCTGTGCAAGGAGACCCACCGTTTAAAATGTGCTTCTAGGGGCCCCTGGGGGGCAGTGGCTCATGGCACGTTGAGGGCTAATCGTTTCTGCCTGGCGCCCCTCTAGCGTGCCCGCGGCTTACGAATGTTTCCCTGTTCTTTCAAATTGGCTTCTCGGAGGGGGGATACCCCTTCCATTTAAAGTGCGCGTAAGGTTCTCGTGAACCCAGAACGCTCTGTAGATAATCATGCTGCCTCTCCTTAAATGGAGGGAACAGAAATAAGTTTCCCCCTGCAATAAAGGATGCGCTTCGTTCCTGAAGGCTGATGAGCAGTTTTGCCTTGTGTAACCTCTGCAGGGAGTGCATGGTTTCATACCAGCCTCTCGCCCCGAGTTCCTTTGGTTGGCCAGCCAGCGAAGAACTTGTTTCAGGAAACGCTTTCTCTTCTGCTGTTCCGTTGGTGGATTCACGAGGAATTTCTTGGGCAGGTCTAGACAATGCAACCATTGCCTTTCGGGCTTCCCACGGAAGGCTGCATGTGAAGCGAGCTGAGAAGCATCCACCTTGCTTTTCGCCAAGTCAGTGGGGGGTGTAAAAAGGTCTAGGAGGTCGCAACTCAACAAGGGGCACCCTAAAAATGCTCCAGCCCTTCAGCTGGGATGACTGGAACTCGTTGGCCTGATCTTGTCTGGAGCTGGAAGGCCAGGTATGGGCCCGGGAGCTTGGGAGGGGTTCAAGGGAGGGAACCAAGAGGAGAAATCCAGGTACTTTTTTCTTGGGAAAGGTTAAAAGCATCTGGAGAAGACGGGATGGTGAAGAAGGGATAGGAGAGACCTCTTGCAGGGTCAGAGCAAATTTGGAGACCTGAACCCAAAGGTCAAAGGGAGATTTGACTAAGCGCTGGGAAGAACGTTCTGGTGCTAGAGCAGTGGAAGAGTGGAACCAGGTGCCTTGGAAAGAGAGAGACTCCTCATGGGTGGATCTGGGTTCTTTCCTTTACCAGAGATTTTAGGACTATAACAGAGGTGGACTGGAAGTTCCCTCCCAGCCCTGTGACTCAGAGGCCCTCCAGCTTGATGACTCTCCAGTATCGTTTGCTCTTGGGTTGGGAGTCAGCGTGCTTTTCTTAGCAAGCTGCACTAGCAGGAAAAGCCAGGCTCAGAAAAGTAAAGAAAGAACTGAGGATGTGCTCAGCCTAGAAATTAATTTGCAGGATTCACACTGAAGCTTGTCCATGAATTTTTCCCAAAGAGATCTCCCCCCATCCCACATTTCCAAGCATTTTAAAATTTCAGCAGCCAAATTTAGGAGGAAAAAATAATATATTTTTCATGCCACTATTGTTCAGTCCGTTGAGAGGTGGGTTCTGATCTGTGGCAAATAATCCAGGGACCTAAGTGAAGATCCCAGGGGACCTTCTGCCCACCCTACACCCCCGGCTCCAACCTCCTGCCCCTTTCTTTTTTCTCCTGGAAGCACGACCGCCGCTCAGCTGTGCTCCCGTGTTGGCTTTCCAGGTGGGTGAATGGGAGAACCAGACGCTGATCCATAAGTACTCCGTGTGGCCTCGGTTTAACTCTTTCAATGACAGTGATCCAGACAACAACCACCTCAGCATTGTCACCTTGGAGGAGGCTCCCTTTGTCATCGTGGAGGACATGGATCCTTTGACGGAGACCTGTGTGAAGAACACAGTGCCGTGCCGGAAATACGTCGTCATTAAGTAAGTCTGGGGGTCTCCCAGAACCCTGAGCCCCCTCAGTTTCCTGAAGAGCTCTGTCTTGGGAGGTCTTGAGAAGCAGGGTGGTGGCCCAGGGCTCAGATTCACCCCTGAGCCTTCTCCCTTTGCTGTTAATTTAGATCAGTGTTGTCCAAACTTGGCCACTTTAAGATGAGTGGACTTCAACTCCCAGAATTCCCCAGCCAGCCATGGGGAACACTGATTTAGATGGTGGAGATGTTCTGCCCTAGCGGCAGAAGTTCCCTGTCCCCGCTACAAGCAGTAGGTGAAGTCTTCTTCCAACCAGGCTTGCCTCCTGATGGCTCCATGGCACCGCCGTGGGTTTCCTTGGCAGTGGTTGGAAGGGCCTTGCAGGGCCTTTTTCAGGACGCTTTTTCAACTTCCCAGTCTAGTCATGGCCTCGGGATTTTCTGGTGGCCTCCCATCCAAATACTAACTACTTAGGTTTTCAAGATCAGCCAGAGTTGATTAGGGGTTGCCACCTATCGAGGTTTGCAACAAAAGTTGTTAATAGACATGTTCTCTCCCTCCATACACTTGGCCCTCCTTTAAAACTAAATTAAGAAGGAAGGAAGGAAGGAAGGAAGGAAGGAAGGAAGGAAGGAAGGAAGGAGAGAGAAATAGATCTTTGTGGTTTGTTTGTCTTGTCAGCAACATCACCAAAGAAGGAAAGAACATGAAGAAATGTTGCAAAGGGTTCTGCATTGACATCCTGAAGAAGCTCTCGAAGACCATCAAGTTCACTTATGACCTCTATCTTGTGATCAATGGGAAGCATGGAAAAAAAATCAATAACGAATGGAACGGCATGATTGGGGAGGTAAGTTCTGTTGGCTAAAAGAGCTCTCTCAACTCGGCCACGCTCTCTCTACATTTGTCATGGAGTGAGCTAGAACTTCCCCCGTCCCCTCTTTTCTCTTTGCCAACAGGTGGTCAAAAAGCAAGCCGTGATGGCCGTGGGGTCCCTCACCATCAATGGGGAGCGCTCAGAGGTGGTGGATTTTTCAGTGCCGTTCGTAGAAACTGGAATTAGCGTCATGGTCTCCCGGAGCAATGGCACTGTTTCTCCTTCTGCTTTTTTAGGTGAGTTTCCTTCCGTTCCCTTCCCTTCCCTTCCCTTCCTCCCTCCCTCCTTTCCGCCCTTCCTTCCCCTCCCTTCCTCATTTTCCTACAGATGGATTTAATTCTGCTTTCTGCAAAGACTTTCCATAGACCTTCCTCTCCCTTTAGAGAGAAGAAAAGATGCCCAGTGAACGGAGCAGTTCTGGGACACATTTCTGTCACTTTTTAAATTGGGTGTTGAAAAGTTGGGGTGGACAGCTGATGGGCTTAAGATAGTGCTGAGGACTAGGATAAAAATTTATGAGGGAGCTGGGAGCCACACTTCTGCAGCATTTCCCACGTGTGCCCCAAGATGAATCCTGAATTTTTCCAGAGGAAGGGGGTGCATTAGGGGAGACTCAGCCGTGAGCCCAGCAACATTTTCTTTTGAAGCGGTGGGGTTTGCTTTCGTACATGTCTGCAGCTGAGCAAATTTCTTCTGGACCAATGTGTTTGTCCCCCTAACAAAACTGGTCATCCAGTTCAAACATTTCACAGTTCTTAGCTCCAACAGAGATCACGTTCTTGAGAACCCAGCCTCGACTCAGCTCCTGGCTGCCCCTACGCTTGTTGTGATCAAAGTCCTCTTCTAACAAACTGGGGTGGATTGGTTTGGCCGGGAGTGATGGGGGACAGAGTCCCTCACTTCTAGCAGGTCCCATCAGGCTGGCTCAGCCACCCTCCAGCCTCCCTTGCTTTGCAGAGTTGGGCCAACTGTGTTCTGACCTTGGCTGAGTGTCACGGTCGGTCTTCTGGGGTCAGAGGGTCCTGATGAAGCTGGGTGTCTCTTCTCTTCACGGCTGGGTTTGGGAAGCAAGGTGGCTCAGGGTTTGCTCAGCCCCCAGGGTGGAGCTCCACTTTCCACTGGCAAAGGGAGTTGGAAAGGCGCTCCTGTAGGCCACCTGTCAACCTTCCTCCTACAGGAAGGGCCAAGAAGGAGCAGGAAATCCTGTCCAAGAAGACGGGTTTCTTGGTTTTTTCCTCTAAGTCAGCCTTGCACAGACCCAAGACTTGGCCTGTGGACCTCGCCTGCCCCCGGCTGAATTTGTTCGGAGAACCTCGACTCAGAAGCATCCGAACGCTGCAGCCCGAGGGCCAGATGATCAGTGCTCTTCCCAGCAAAACCGCATGCCTCTCCCTCTCTTCCTGACCCCAGGCACCCAACCTGACTTTCCTCGTTGCGGGCTTGTGTATACACAGCTGAGCCCAGCAGCCGCCCTTCCCTGAAGTTACTTGGCGGGGGCGGGGGATGGCCCTTCCCCTCCGGCCACGCTTGCTCCGGCTGCAGAGCGTGCCTGTCCCTGGCCTGCTCTCCTGGGCAGCTCTCGAGCTTTTCCTCCGTGTTTGCCGCTCACCAATCTGCATTGCGGCTCAGGAAACGTGGCTGTGTTGTCAGATTAGCAGCCGCAACTTGGTTGTGTGGAATGATCCCCTCCAGCGAGCCAACGGAGGGGATGGGCGGTGGGGGGCGGCAGGGGCCGGTGGCTGGCAGCTTGGGGTCTCGTGTCATTGTTCCTGCTGCAGACAGGCTGTTACCCCGGGCGCTTCTCTTTTTCCAGAGCCCTTCAGCGCGTCTGTCTGGGTGATGATGTTCGTGATGCTGCTGGTCGTGTCGGCCATCGCCGTCTTTGTCTTTGAGTACTTCAGCCCGGTGGGCTACAACCGCAACTTGGCCCAAGGGAAAGGTAGCGCATCTCCTCCCCGAAAGAGCTTTCGTCCAGCCCGTTGGCACTGCCCCTCGGCTCTGCCCTCAGCCGGGGAAGCAGCAAAGGAGCGCGCGGGGAAGTGATCCCAGGACTGGCATTCTCCCTGGCTTGCCGTCCACGGGCGGCTCGGGGGCCTCCAGCCCAGCCTCTTGAAAAGGGCATCTTCGCCCCCAGATGGGAGGGCCGGGGCAGAGCCTTCCCAGCCTTCCTCACCGTGAGCTGTGCCAGCTCTGGATCAGCAGCGTCCAGAGCGTGGCAGGATCCCCATCTTGGAGCCAGGAAGAAAAGGAGCCGTGGTTACTTGATGGAGCCTCCAGATTCAAGGACAGTCTGGATGGAATGGGTTTCTGGTCTGGCCCCAGCTGGCCTTTTCTTACCTGCTTAGCCTCAGAGTAGCTTTTCACAGAGAGTCTGTTCTTGGGCCCCCCTCTGTACTTGGGGAAGAGGCAGGCTGGTGCTTTGCGGGCACGTGGTCTCATCAGCGGCAAGCCCTGTCCGGCTGAGATGTTGGACAGAGGGTCGTGGGCTGCGCTGGCTGGGCTTGTGGTCCAGTAGCGGCACAGGGCATCTCCCCCCCTTGCCAGATCTCGAGTCCACAGCCACGTGTGGCCTTCTTCTGTATAGGCGTGGCTCTGATTTCCCTTCGTTGGTGGGATGGAGATGACCCATCACAGCTCCCAAGCTCCTCCTCCTGGTTGGAGGTGTCACTCCAGTGCTTTACCCTCCAGGCCACTGACAACGGAAGGAGGTCTAACCACTTTGAGAGGATCCCACCCTCCACCCCCCCCGGCCATTAATCTGAAAAATCCCCCAGTGGGAACATTCAACCCCAGGTGAATCCAATCTTAAAAGGAAACACTGTGGTTATTACTACTGTATTTTTATTAGGGTCATTGTTATTTTATTACTGTCGCTCAGTGTCGTTCAGTGTTTCTCAACCTTGGCAACTTGAAGATGTGTAGACTTCAGTTCCCAGAGTTCCCCAGCCAGCAAGGTGCCTGGGGAATTCTGGGAGTTGAGGTTCAGACACCTTCAAGCTGCCCAGGTTGAGAAACACCGGTACAGATCATCAGCATTCTTAGCAGGAACAGAGGGACCTTTCCAGCTCCGTCTGTTAATCCGTTAGGCCATCCGAGCTCACCGTTGTGCAGAACTAGATAACTCCAGATACTAAAGAAACAGGGCGAAGAGAGCAGCTGTAATGGTTTGGCAGTTGTGATGCATGCATGGAACGGACCCCTGAGGTGAAGGGACCGTGTTGCCTCCTTTGTCCCATCAGATGCTCACGGGCCCTCCTTCACTATTGGGAAAGCCGTGTGGCTCCTGTGGGGCCTGGTGTTCAACAACTCTGTGCCAGTGCAGAACCCGAAAGGAACCACCAGCAAAATCATGGTCTCTGTCTGGGCCTTCTTTGCTGTCATCTTCTTGGCCAGTTACACAGCCAACCTGGCTGCCTTCATGATCCAGGAGGAATTTGTTGACCAAGTCACGGGGCTGAGCGATAAGAAGGTCAGTGGGTTTGGCTTCCATGTTAGTTTCCCATTTTTCCCAACCTCCGAGGCATTCCGCTGCATTTAGGATCAGGACCTTGTAAGGCAAAATCAGCAGAAACACTTGTAGGCACATATGCGCACCTTCCTCCTAATTCATGCATTTTGCACAGTTTTTCTGACGCATGTACTCCTGCTAGCAGGTTTCTTTCCCTGATATGCGCTTTTGCACACGTTTCCTTCTCATTACTGTATTTTTGCACGTACTTGCCTCTGGTATATGCTTTTTTGTGTCTTTTCGTTGCTGCTGCAAACCGCGTTGCCAAATTCTGGAAGGCTCAAGTAAGCTTATATGATTCCTATATAAGTCTGGGAACGAGCAAGGTTTGGATCAATGAGTTAATTGAATGAATTTCTCCCCTCTCGGTGTTGGGGCTTTCAGATGCTCTCTAGCACATCTGGAACACCGGGCTGGGGGTGGGAAGGTGGACACGGTTTGACCGCGCAAGGCAGCCTCTGTTGCAGCTCAGAGGCAGGCCAGGCGAGAAGGTGGGGAGCCCTTCCCCGGCTTCTCCAGGCGCCCCGAAGAAAGACGGGTTTATCCGCTCTCCTCCAGATGCTTCTGGTGACTCTCGAGGCCCCGGTGACCCTCGGTGCCGCTGGGGCTGAGAGGTGAACCGCAGATCCGTGGAAGATTTGTAAGGTGCTGTGTCTTCCTTTTCCCTTCTCCAGTTCCAGCAGCCGTACGCCTACTCCCCTCCTTTTCGGTTTGGGACCGTCCCAAACGGGAGCACAGAGAGAAACATCCGGAACAACTACAAAGAAATGCACGCTTACATGGTGAAGTACAATCAGAAAGGAGTGGAAGACGCCTTGGTCAGCTTGAAAACTGGGTACGTGGGACGTTGGCTTTAGGGGAAGGCGTTGGCCGCTTGGCCGTGCAAAACACCCAAAGGTGTAGAAAACGGAGGGACGTTTGGTTTATTCGATTCCACGCGGCTGCTCGTGTGTATATGCTTTTCTTCAGAAGGACAGATCGCGGTCTGGAAAATGCACAGGCTTGAGCGTGAGGCAAGAGGGAGCCCGAGCAGGCATCTTGCTCTCCATCGAGCCACCTTTTTGCACCCTCTTCTCAGAAGGAGGGAAAGGGGACACACCCTGCCCGGGCAGTCGTGTCTTGGGCCTCTAACTCACTTCTCGTGGTAATGCCGGGAGAGTCGCCCTGCTTACTTGCACGCGGTTTTTCCAAAGTGAGGCACCTGCAAATGAGCTTTTAACGTCAACCATTCTGAGAAAGCTGTTTGCGCAAAGAACCTCTCGCCCTGCAGAGAGGAGAGGCCGAGAACCAGGAGAGGACAATGGCAGGGAGGCAGATTTTGGGGGATGGAACCCCAAACGGTGGGAGCGGACAGCCCGGTTTCTGCCGGATGAATTGAAGCAGAAGCCGTGGGGCTTCTCCTGGTGGTCCTGCGGCAGAGTCCGCAGAGGCAGCCCCGTCGCTGATCTCCAGGTTTTCAAGCCTGAAGTTCTCGGAAACCCGCTCTTTGTGTGGACGAGGGAAGCTTTCCAAGCCCAAATCCTTTTCCCACTGGGGGTCGGGAGCTCAGGGACAACTGGAGGAAAGCTTTAATAGAGCTTCCCCCCCTCTGGAGTCGCTGTGCCCGCCCAGAAGGGGCCTTGCTACTGCCAACTTTCTCCCAGCTGTGGGCAGGAATGGCTGGGCCTCAGTGGCCCCCCCGCTGCCTCCCCTCTTCCCGTGCTTCTCCTGAAGAGCTTGGAGGGTGGGGATTGCTGTCCCGCTAGTGGGAGGGTGGTGGGCCCATTCCCCTTCTCCTGTGAAATCATCAGAGGGCATCCGACGACGTGAACGCGATTGCTGGGATTATCCAGGGAGATACTCCTGCGAGGCCTTGGCACCGAGGCTGCAAGGAGGGTGGGGCCCCGGAAGAGCCTCCGCTTGCCTCCGCCTGAGCCCGCTGCCTCCTTGGCACCCGAGCGGGCCCGGTCTCCGCAGCCCCGGCCATCCACTGCCAAGGAGACCCCCCCTCTGCCCCCCTTCCTTTCTGGATTGGCTCGCTCTGGAGATCCCAGGGGCTCCGTGCCGCCTCCGCCGATGGAGGCTGCCTGCAGCAGGCGGTGCAAATCGCCTGTCATGTCCCATGATTCCGTGATCAATATGCGACAGCGGCTGCAGCTCCAGAGCATTGGGTTTTGCTCCCGAAGAACTGACGGGCGGGCACAGAAGCCCCGCGTTTTGAACAGCATCTGCACTACCCCTGAGCCAGGAAACATCAGGTTCTGCAGATGGAATAAATGAACGAGCAGCAGAGATTAGCGGAACTGTACGGGAAGGCGTCTTTAATCACGGCCTCCCGGCCAGAATTACTTGTTTTTAAAAACCCTTACGCTCATGGGTCTTCGCGGGCAGCCTGGGCACCGGGTGGGGAAAGGCCTTCTTTCAGCCCCAGAGGACAAGCAGGGGGCCGAGGGGGGAGGGGGGAGCCGCCCGGAGAGTGCCGGGCCAAACCGAAGGGCTGCTTGGAGGGGGCCGCTTCAGAGAGGCTGTTTCTGGCAGGCCTGGCAGGGCTGTTTCTCAGGCTCCTCTGAATGCTGGGGGAGGCTGCCTGGAAGCCCCCACGGGGGCAGCAGCAGGAGCCTCCGAAAGCATGCTGTGTTTGTGGGGTCCGGGGACTCGGCTGCGCATCGCTTCCACGGCCGCGTGCGGCAGCGCATCCTTCGCGCTGGCGGTTGGACCCGATGCGCTCCTGGGTGGGAAAATGACATTTTGGCTGGGGAGCGCCTAAGACGTCTT